AGTATAAAATAAAATAAAATAAAGCGGCATACTGTGTAATAATTTGAAATTTAACTTACTTCTTTTAATATACAGTCAGATCTTTTTAAATGCAATGTGGCAGACCATATATTAAAACTTAGCCAAACATGCACTTAAAGAAATATTGCTTAGGGAGGTAAAAACTTAGCCAAACGTGCACTTAAAGAGATATTGCTAGAGTGGTAAAAATCTATAGGCTTAATATTAGTTTGGCTCAAGAGAAGACGTGCATTTAGAGAGATGTTTCATAGAACATGCACTTAGGGGAATTGTATTTAGGGGATCTGACTGTATATAATGTTACAAAAAAATAAAAAAAAGTAACTAATACAATTGTTTGTAGTAAAAGTAAAAGCATTAGTAGATCAGTAATTAGTAAGCAAATTGAAACTGGGTAAGTAAAGCGAAGCAAAGACTATGTTAATATTATAAAAATCGAACAATTTCATTGGTCAGATTGGCACTGAGTCATCGCTAAGTCAAGATTTACAGATTTAAAAAGCTTGTATAATGGAGTTTGTCCACCATGCTACTCTCTCTATAATAAACTGTTTGTATATAATACTAGCCAATAGAATCTCTCAAAATTTAAATTACTTTAGAAAATTTCTAGATAAACTAATTTTTTTTATATTCTTTAAGTTATTTTAATTTCTTTAGAAAAATTTTGAACTTATTAAATATTAGACAAGTATATCTATATAATTATATAATAGTTTACTTTATAGAAATATATATACATAGTCTAAGTTTGGTATAGCCAGCCTTAATTTATTATACATAAAAATTTATTCTTCCTAATCTGGAATATAATAGCTCAATTCTGGTATTAAAGGTCAATATATTCAAAAACTAATATACATTAATAAACTTCAAAAATCTTTAATAATATTAAAATAATTTCGCAAATTTTAACTATAATAAAATATACAAGTTTTATACTGATCAAATTATCAAAATTAGACTAACAATCACTAGAATAGTAATTTACTAGAGATTGCAATATTGTGAATAAATCTAAAAAGGTTAAAATTTTGAAAAAATTCTAAATACTTCTAACTTTGCTATATTAATAATTATTGGTTTAATTTTAAGATTAAACTAATATTATGGTTAGAACAAGTTTAAATATCATTTATTAGAAAATTATTTTTTATATCATATTTATTTTTATTGAAGGTATAATTTTTCGCCCTTTTGAAAAATAATTATTTATATATAATTTTCTTTTTTTCTAAAAAATTATTCTATAAAAAATATTAAATAATAATTTTATTTTATACGAAAGATATCAAAATAATTTTAAATTAATTAAAACTTTCTAAATATATTCAAATTAATCAGCTTTTTCCATGGCTACATTTTGAACTTCTTCCATATAATTATTCTATATTTTTTCTATCTATTTGTTTATTATTTGAAATTATTTAAATAATATATATATATTTTTTTTTTGGCAATCCTGCCTTTATTATAAGAGGTAATAATAAACTATTCTAAAAGAATTACTACTAGAGTAATAGTTTTCCTCCTGTAAAATAAAAACTTATTTAGTTATCTAGATATCTAAATGTGATCTGCTGTAGCAAGAAATTTTCCTCGATTGCAAGTCTTCTAACTGTCTAGAAGTTCCTTGACAATGTCATTATTAAGCTCTTGCTAGCTTTGTCAAGATTCTCTTATTCTATTTTTCTTGGTTTGCTTGAAGAAAGCCATGCCAGTTTTGAAAAGCCTTGTATCCAGCTTTGTATTATATTTTTAGCTGATTTGTAAAATCTTTGAAACTTTTCTTTTTCTTTCTTTGTTGTTCGATGGCTAGCTGTGGATACTTTTTCCTCTTTATTTTCTTTGAAATTCTTTCTTTTTTTACTTTTCCTTTCTTCTGATATAGGATTTGTTTTTGGGTTCTTTTTCCTTTTTTTTGGTTTGTCTATTTTGTTTTTTTCTTTCTACTTTGCAACTACTTCACATCTGGAGTTCCATATTTTCTAAAAGAATTCCTTATTAATTATCTCAAATAGTTTACACTTGACTTGTTTCTCTTTTAGAGCTTCTTTGTTCTTGTCTAATGGAACTAGGCCCATGATTATTAGTTTTCGCTTTTCATATTTGTCTTTCTGGCTTTCACCTAATATTGTGTCTAGGCTTGTTTTATGTATTCTATATAAGTTATCATTACTTGTCTTTTTAATCTTTTTATGTTTTTCTAACTCTATTTTTTTTCAGAAAACCTTATATTTATCACATTCTGCTAGATGTTCTAGTGTCTCTGTCTTTTTATAGCAAGCTACACATAGATCGCTTTTATAGGTTTCTGGATATCTTTTGTGCAATACTACCATTGTCGGTATACTTCCTTCTATGCATTTGATTTTTTGTATCTATCTTCTACTATTTTTCTCACTTCTACAATAATGCCCTTTAACTTTTCCTAATACCTCCTATGTACTTTTCTAGTTTATTTCTATATCTGAATATTTGCTATCTATTCTATTACTAATATTTGGAAGTTGACTCCAGTTTATATCAAATATCATATTTGTGATTTCTTTTACGAACTTTTACAGAGGTTTGTCTACTATATAGCCCTCCTATTCTGGTACTATTTTTAGACTATCAACCCAATCTGAGTTTATCATGAAGCTTGATTTACTTTTAAGACCAAGTTTGGCTAACTTGTCTGCTTTTTCATTGTCTTCGATCCCAGTATGTGCTTTAATCTTAGCTAGTTTCCATATGGGGGTGAGTCAATAGAAAAGGGACAAATCATTTTTAGTAATTTTTTTTTAATTTTTAAATTAAAATATCTCAACAACTATTTAATCAAAATTGTTAAAAATTTTTTTATTTTAATCTTGAAATTATATGGAATTAAAATAAAAAAAAATTTATTAAATTTAATAAGATAATTGCTAAGATATCTAAGCTTAAAGTCAAGAAAACTTTTACTTAAAAAAAATTTGTCCCTTTTCTATTGACTCTCCCCTATATACTGGTGACAACTTTGCTATTGCAGAGAGTGGGTAGTCATTACCTTTATTATCCATAGACCAATTTTTAACTTGTATTAGTATGTATGAAATACGATCTTTGTTAAGTCTTTCATTAACAAATGAGATGCTTATCTAGATTGTGGCACTATGTCAATATATAAATGGGGCCCAAAAATAGCTAAAGTTTCAGTAATACTAATTTTGTTTTGGAATTGTTTTTTTCAATAAATGAAAGACTTTCTACCAATAAGCTTGTCTATAGCCAATTCTATAATATGTTCTGGTTTGAATCCTTTAACTTCATCAGAAGGTAATAGTAGTGCACCCCACAAAGGTCTTTTGTACTGAAAAAAATATTGCGGGTTTTCAGACTCTTTTAGCTTTGAAACATATTTAAATTCTCTATTCGTATTAATCATTTCCATATTTATATCCACTGTGTCCAACAAATAAAAAGGCTTAAATAATTGAGACCCTTCTTTCGCAACTCTTTTGGATGGTCGAGGTAGTAAACAGGTGAGAAGTTAGAAATATATGAGTGTATATCTGTAAATATTGCAAAAATTTCTACATTTTTAGGTATAAGCTTTAAAGCATGTCATACATAGTAGAACAGAGTTTTACTCTCAACCTTTTGATTAACCAGAATACATGCTTCATCAAATACAAACAGACATTTAACTGAACCTCCTCCTATTATTATTTTTTGTCTATCAAAGTATTTATTGATCCCTTTAGCCATTGTTCTATTTAATTGATATTTCATAAGATCAGGTATGATATTAGCCATTCTATGTTCAACATCTTTCCAGAAGTTTTTCTAAGAATTGTTGTTAGTATGTTCATCAATCTATTTTTTGCAACTCCCATTAAATTTTTGCAACTTTTGAAAACACACGCATATGTATACAAGGTAGATAACTATTGCTTTTCGTTCGTTATTAAACCCATCTAATAGTGTTTTGACAATATGTAGTGCAACAACAGAGTTTGTTGACATTCCAACAAAGTTTATTCAAACACGTCAAATCACTTCATGTAAACGTAAAATTGAAGAAGTGCTAGAAGATTATCAAGCAGGGGATATCGAAACAAGGGACAAATTTATCAAGAAGATTAGACTCGATGGCAATACAGACATCTTAGACACTGAAATTACAGAATTCAAGAAGCATTTTAAGATACCACTTGTATTATTTGAATTATCTCCAAACATCTATAGCTGTTTAGAAGCAACTCAGAAACAAGCGCATTCTGTTTCTAGAGCAACTTAGTTCCGCAGACAATGAACATTTACTTGAATGGCAACATATTTCACCCAGACTACTACATCTTCCCAAAGGGAAAAAACCAGACTGGTTCTCCTTCCTAGAGAGCACCATAATAGATAACTTCTAACACTGCTCTATACACCCATCATACTGACCACAGGGCACAAATCCATTTGCTTATTAGTCTACTACTATTTCTAAAAGGTTGAGACCTTGGATACTTACATACCAACAAAACGAAATAATTATAGGCCAAATT